GGGGGCTGGGGGGGAGGCTGGGGGGAGGCAGCTCAGGACCTGGGGGCTGAGAGGGGGGGCACACAAGCTGCCTCCCAGGGCTGACTTGTGAATACAGATGGTGGTGTGAGATAATGCAGATATGAACACGCACGCATGCGCGTGCAGGTGTGCACAGAAATCAGTCACAAATTTCACACTTATCAAGGTGACACAGTGGGGGGAGGGGGTCTGGGGGGTGTCATACTCCTAATCCTAGCTGCTCAGGAGGCTGAAATCTGAGGATCAGGATTCCGAGCCAGCACAGGCAAGCCCGTCTCGGAGACTCTTATCGCCAATAAATCGCCAAAAAGCCAGAAGGGGAGCTGTGTGTGGTTCAAGTTGTAAAGCACTAGCCTTGGGCAAAACTCAAATAAATAAATAAAGCTCCGGGACAGTGCCCAAGCCCTGAGTTCAAGGCCCAGGACCAGCACCAAAACAAAAACATCAAGGAGGTTAGAGTACCCAACCTGTAACTAAATAATAAAATAATTTAATCCTGCTTTTGCTCAACTCCCTATTGCCAACTGATTTTCCCAGAATGCTTTTGGTATTTTTTTTTCTGGTGCTGGGTTTGAACTCAGGGCTCCCTTGCTCAGCTGGTGCTCTGCCCCCTGAGCCACTTCCTCAGCCCAGCTTTTTGCTAGGAAGATAGACTTCCATGGACTTTTCTGCCTAGGCTGGGTTTGAACCATGATCCTCCAGATCTTAGCCTTCTGAGTAGCTAGGATTACAGGTGTGAGCTACCTGGGCCCGGATGCTTTTGGTGATTTTTGCTGATGTGGACAGCAAAGGTGAGCAATTCCACTACAGATACAGACGCGAACTTCACTGCCCAGTGACGCAGCACCCTCTTTGCTGAGTAAGGAAGAAGTCTGTCCACATTGGAAGAGCGTTTTGTCATCTCTCCTGCCCTTGATACTGCCTCTGCCTGCCTCCCACGAAGCTCTCGCTTCCTGTCTGCCCTGGCAGAGGCCATCTCTGCTTCAGAATCACATGTAGACACTAAGGCTGCATCGTTAGTGTGGGCTCTGCACTTACGCTTAGCTTTGGGTTTTCTTTTTGCCAGTCCTGGGGCTTGAACTCAGGGCCTGGACACTGGCCCTGAGCTTCTTTTCCTCAAGACTAGCACTCTACCACTTGAGCCACAGCACCCTTTCCATTTTTTCGGTATATGTGGTACTGAGGAATGGAACCCAGGGCTTCATGCATGCTAGGCACGCTCTCTACTGCTGAGCCACCTTCCCAGCCCCGAGCTTTGGTTTTTCTCAGGTAAGGTAAGGTCTCACCCAGGCTAGTAACCCAGGCTAGCCTTGAACTCTGAAGCCTCCTGCCTCAAGCCTCCCTAGCTATAAACCTGGATCCATCACTTTCTAAGTCTAGATTAGAGCGACCAGCAAGCTGTGGCCTTCAGGCCAAATTTGGTCCAAAGTCTGTTTTTTAAAAAAAAAAAAAACATTTAAAAATTGTTATGATAAAGGTGGTGTCCAGAGGGGTTACAGTTACATACGTCATGATGAGTGCGTTTCTCTTTTGGACAGTGTCACCCTTCCCCTCGCTCTATCCCAGTTTTAAAGCAAAGTCTTACTGTAGGCTCAAGGAGTGGCTTCAGTGGTAGAGGCTTGTCTAGAACCCACACAATCCCCGGTACAGAAACAAGTAAATTAGCCAAAGTTCCTTGCAGCATAGCCACGCCCACTCATTTACATACCACCCAGCCTTCTGCGGCAGCTCAAGCCCTGCAAAGCTGAAAATACTTTTGAGACTTGAGTGGGGAACTCACTGGCTCCCTTCAGATGGGCAAAGGCTGGAGAGGGGCGTGGGGAAGCCAGGGGAGGGCGCACAGGCCTTTCCTCTGCCTGGAGCTCACATCCCTTTATTTCTTGTCATGGTACTGGGGTCCGAACTCAGGGCCTGGTGCTGTCTCTTAGCTTTTCCGCTCAAGGCTGGTGCTCTACCACTTGAGCCACACCTCCACTCCTGCCTAGTGACACTGGAGACGAGGCTCTTAGACTTTCCTGCCCGGGCTGGCTTGGAACGCGGTCCTCAGCTCTCAGCCTCCTGAGTAGCTAGGAGCGCAGGCGGGAGCCACATCTTTTAGTCTGAAGTCTCTTGGAGGAAGTGGACCAGGAAGTACCAAGCAACTTAGTCTGGGATGAGCAAATGCAGGCCTGGCACTCAGTACACGATGTGGAAATGAACCACGCGGCTTGTGTGGGAAACGGGGAAAACAAAGGAAAGGGTGACAGTGTGCAGAAAGCAATGTACTCATTGCCTGACTAACGAAGGAGAAAACCCTCTGTGCAACACCTTCATAGTAACAATAAAATTATATGGGAAAAAAGAAACTTGAACATACGGCTGAAAAAAAAAAGAAGGGGGAGAACGATAAAAGTGAAGTTGATTGAGAACATTTTACATATGCGTGAAAATATTACAGTGAAAACCCATTTGTGCAAGTAACATATACCTTTAAAAATACAGAAAGGGCTGGGAAGGTGGCTCAGTGGTAGAGCGCTTGTCTTGCATGCCTGAGGCCCTGGGTTTGATTCCTCAGCACCACATAAGCAATAAGAAAAAAGCCGGAAGTGGCGCTGTGGCTCAAATGGTAGAGTACTCGCCTTGAGCTGAAGAGCTGAGGGACAGCGCCCAGGCCCAGAGTTCAGGCCCCACGACGGGACCAATAAAAATAAATTAATTAAAAAAAATAAAAATACAGAAAATGCTGGGCGCCAGTGGCTCATGCCTGTAATCCTAGCTACTCAGAAGGCTGAGATCTAAGGATCTCGGTTCAAAGCCAGCCAGGGCAGGAAAGTCCCTGAGACTCTTGTTTCCAATAAACCACCAGAAAACTGGAAGTGATGTTGTGGCTCAAGCGGTAGATCGCTCGCCTTGAGCTGAAGAGGTGAGGGAGAGCGCCCAGGCCATGACTGTCTATAAAACAAAAAATAAAACAAAAAACTAGTCTGGGGTGAGCAAACCACCCTTAGCCTTGAATTCCCCAGCGTTGATCTGGTGACCACAGGCAGGTGGCTGTCCCCAGAATCCCTGAGCCCCTGCTCTTACCTCCGTCTGAGCTGGGGACTTCCAGCTCTGCCCAACTTGGGAACTTCTATTTCACTTGAGCCGCCCCTTCACTTCTGGCTTTTTTGCTGGTTCATTGAAGATGAGAGCCTCTTAGACTTTTCTGTCCAGGTTTGGTTTCAAATCGTGATCCTCAGATCTCAGCCTCCACAGAAGCTAGGAGGACAGGCGTGAGCCCCTGGGGTGCAGCCAGCTTGCTGGTTTAGAAAGGACGTTTGAATCACTGCTTCGCCCCACAAAGGGCTCACACTGAAAGGGGGCTCAAGGCACTGGCCACATAGTCAGCTACCCTCCCCGACTCCTCAAGTTACCATCACCCCAAAGCCAGCCTTCCTACAGCATTTGCAGGCTGGCACCTGCAGGGAAGAAAACAAAGGGGGTCTTCTGTCCCCCTGGGGCTCACCCAGCAGTTCCCGGTTTAAGGGACATGTTTACACAACTCAAAAACTGCTCTGGAACAAACCGATCTTGCAACAGTGTGCCACCTTAGGAAAGCCCTGAGCTAGAACAGGAAGCCTAGCTGCAGAGAGCCAGGCTCGGAGCGGGGCCGCTCTCCAGCACAATGGCCTCTCGCTGTCCGCTCACGGGGCAGGGCGCAGGCCGTGGGGGAAGCTGAGCAAGTCGGCCCAGGGCAAGGCCAC